CCTCTCCCGACGGACGGGCATTACTAGCTGATATAGGTGCAGGTTGGAAAAGAGTAAGTGGTGGCCAAACAAAAACATGGCATCAATCCATGAAATCCCTGACAGTTAAACTGAGTCAGGTAGGGAGGGAGATGCAGACTTCCGGGTTGGGGCCCTCGGGACTCTAAGAATCAATGGCTGGAGACAATAGGTGACATGGCTCAAAATCGTTGTCAATGGCTTACGCAGATGTATTCAGTCTCTTTAACCTTCATATTCCTTTCTACCATTACTCATTCCGTTTCACTCTTATACTTATCTAAATTCTATTGATTCTCTTCACTTATTTCCCTGTCTACCTTTGTGTGCTATTTGGAACGTGGCAACTCAAACTGCTGCACTTCGGTGCCAAGTTCTATGTTGAATCCAGCAGCAGCAGCCATCGATTGCCTTTCTCGACGGGAAATGTTAGTTGACATAGGACGGATCAGGTTGGAAAAGAGCCCGTGGTCGTCAAACCAAAACAAGGCTTCATCCGTCAATGAAATCCACAACAGTTAGTTTAAGCCAGCAAACCAGTAACGTAGGAAGGTGTAGAGTACCTGAATGGTTAGGGTCCTCGGGATGGTAAAAACCAATGAAGGCTGGAGAGAATCGCTGATATGGTTCAAAATCGTTCTCAATGTCTGGCGCACATGCATCCACTCCTTGTGACTTATAATATCCAATAAAACGATATTGTTCTTCCATATTACTATTTTTGCCTCTTTTTCTATTTATTATCTCTCTTTACTCTCCTCTCTTGCTTTGTGTGCTAAATGGAGGGAGAGTGGCAACTCGACCTGCTGCACATTTGTGCAAAGTTCTACGTTGAAACCAGTCAGTCAGATTATCTTAGTGATTGCTACTAAAAACACACGCCAAACATACACATGACATAGGAAAATTAGCTATTCCGTGCAATAAAAAAGAAAAGAAAACGTACCTTGCAGTAAATTGTTTACCAGCTCTCTTTGGTCTATACTCTGGATGCACTAGAAACAACATATGCGGGAAACCAGTACCAAAATATGCCCCATCTGTATGATGATGACGAGTAGATTTTGGTGTGTAAGTATCCTGACATCTAGGACAATAAATCTTGACCATAGCTTCACCAGGAACATCTGATAAACCGACTGGTAAGCATGGTTGACTTTCACAATAAACCTTTGTCACAAGAAAAGGAAAGAAAGATCATTATTAATTGGGGTGGGAGTGTTAGTGTAAAACTGAAAGTCATCAAACGATAAGTGGTTATCATGAGAGCATAACGCAACTGACATCTGCTATCCTTGACGTGGTGGTCTAGCTCCTATATCGCAATGATAGCGATTAGATTAAAATCAGTAACCGGCACAGTGCAAGATAATCACACAGTGCTGAATGTCTATGGAGAAAGTCGTAGTACTGAGAAATAGGGATATAACAGCAGAAAGGTCTTAACCCTCAGGTGACCAGCTTACCAGCTGTAAGGCATAAGAACTGAGTATCATAATTCCTGAATGTATATACCAAAAAAATTGTCACTAGGTGCAAGACTAACACCTAGAAGTGTTATTGGTAGACGTATATTTGCTGTGGATCACATCATCAATTTCAACAAGGCTTTTCAGACAGTAAATAGAGTGATAGTGGATTACCACAATATGCAGAAGTAGCAGTAATCCGATGGTTGAAGCCTAATTTATGTGTACTGAAGGATTTTGTGGTCCACCTTGCATTGCCTTGGTAATTTATTCTTTCTCTGCTTACTATTTTATCATTTGTTCCATCTTACCTTCCTTAGATTTTGTTCATCTTCCTAACACTTTACACAACCCACTAATTTATTTATCATATAGTAGTCGTGTTTCTTAGTTCAAACTTCACCGTTTTACCAGAATTTCACCCTCCATCATATCATATAGCATATCTTAACTACCCTTGTCATCACCATGAATCTTACTCACACCTTGCCAGTTTTATGTTGAACTATTTTGTTTTTGTCTGGACCGAATTTACAGTACATATGTATTTTTTTATTTTGATTATAGCTTGATTTCACACCGTATTTTTGCTACAAGTATGAAATTTTCAGCATGTGATATCGGTAGCCCAAATTTTGCAGGTCGACCATTGATATCAGGTGTGCATCGGCAGGGGATCGAACCCCGGACCATGTGCATGGTCGGCGACAGTCCTAACCGCTGTGCCACCTTCTTAACCGTTTGTACTTGTATCTGTAATGAGTAATTAGGCCATGAACTACATCATTTATTTATTTATTAGATGGTTGCAGGCAATCGTCAAGAAGTCTTGGACCCAAGTTTCGTGCTTGCTGGCACTCATCAGCCAGTCAAACAACGTATATCTGCATTCTTGAAGGAACTCATATCTCTTCTAAGATTCGAATACGTGTCACCCATTGTTGCAGTCAGACACGTTACAACTGAGTTATACAGGACACACTATTGATCCACTGTAGGACTGTATTGGATACCCTGAGTGGACACTAGTTACTAAACTGTACACAAGTGTTAATTTAGCGCGTTTATTGGAAGATTTCGAGCAGACGAAAGAATGCTGAATTCACTTCATCCGGCAATATTCATTATTCATGCTTTTCAAAAATTTATAAAGAAACTAGTTTCCTATGAGATACCATAGTTCCGTCAAAATCGTTTAACCGGAATTAATTTGAAATAAATAATAAGATATGGTAGAAAAAATTATTCACTTACTCTAGGACAGTAACCAAAATCGCCTTGTTGCCATTTCGCTACCATAATGCAAATACCGCGGTTTGTCAAGATATATCTTGAATGTATTAAACCATAGAGCATTTCAGCAGCCTGTTCTATGAGATCAGTGTTCTCTGGATTATCAGAAGGGTCTACAAATATTTTAAAAAAATGGTGATGAATGACATGCAGAAATTGACCAAAAAGATCCAAATTCACGCTTACACTTGAAATCGCAAGACGACTTCAAACGTAAATCCAACATGAAGAGACTGGGGGATATATGAGAACAAGGGTTTAACTATGCTGTACTAACTGTGTACACACAAACAGTCATACAGCGCATAGACAGACATTCAACTAACAAACAAAGAGAATCACTTATCCTGGCGCCCTAGTGGCGCATTCGGTTAGTTGTGTCGGCAGAATGCTCGCCAATCAAGCATGTGGTGTGAGGTTAGATCCCCAGCCAATTATCGACTCGTTACCAGGGTATAGTCTTATGGACTTAGAATATGCAGATGACATAGTCCTGTTAGGGGAGGATGCTGACAAAATCTAGCAGTCTTCTGAACACCTTGAGCAGCAATCTTCGTATGTTTGGCATGCGATTCGCCCCTGTAAAATGTAACATGCTGCTACACGACTGGACTACGTCAACTCCTAGCTTAGTGATAGGGAGTGAAGTGATAGAACATGTTGACCACTTCACCTATTTGGGAAGTTGTATCAGCACCAACGGATTGATTGGTGACGAAATCACAGCACGGACCCAAAAAGCTCGGGCTGCTTTCGCTAACTTACACCGTCTCTGGCGTAGGCGTGACATCCGGCTACCAACCAAGGGACGTGCGTACTGCTCAGCAGTTCACTCCGTCCTTCTCTATGGTGGTGAGACGTGGCCATTGAGAGCGGAAGACATGAAGAGATTGTCTGTTTTTGACCACAGATGTTTACGATCTCTTTCTCGCGTTAGGTGGTATAATAAGGTAAGTAATGTTGACGTTAGGCGTAGAGTGTTGGGCAAAGAGGGAAAATCACTCGAAGAGGCTATAAAGTTACATAGATTGAGATGGCTAGGTCACGTGCTGCGCATGCCTAGCCATCGCCTCCCCCGACGGGCAGGCTGGAAAAGAGTAAGTGGTGGCCAAACAAAAACATGGCATCAATCCATGAAATCCCTGACAGTTAAACTGAGTCAGGTAGGGAGGGAGATGCAGACTTCCGGGTTGGGGCCCTCGGGACTCTAAGAATCAATGGCTGGAGACAATAGGTGACATGGCTCAAAATCGTTGTCAATGGCTTACGCAGATGTATTCAGTCTCTGTAATCTTTCATATTCCTTTCTACCATTATTCATTCTGTTTCACTCTCATACTTGTCAAAACTCTATTGATTCCCTGCACTCATTTTCTTGTCTACCTTTGTGTGCTATTTGGAACGTGGCAACTCGAACTGCTGCACTTCGGTGCCCAGTTCTATGTTGAATCCAGCCAGCCAGCCAGCCAGCCCAGCCAATTTCACTAGAAAACCACAGTTAGTTAGCAATAAGCCCGTTGAAGAGGGAAGGTGTGAGTCTAGCATCCCTGCCCTGTCAAAATGAACACCTATGCTACTGAAACTTCAAGAGCTCACGCTTCAAGTCGTATGCCCCCCTCGGGAGAAAAGGGATAAAAATACGTTGTGCTGACTACTTTTTTTATTATGGCTGTTTAATTTATTCAAATGTGGTGTTTAGAGAATGAATCTTGGTGTAGAAACAACTTAACTCTTCCAGCTACCAATCTAGTCATAACAGTTATAATTTATTATATAAAATCTTGACACTGGCAGTATGTAATTGTATACCAGTTTCCTTATTGGATACATCACGTAAGGAAATAGTATTATTTAGTGGATGACATCTCCTGAATTGTCATTTAGTGGATAATACTGTTTCGCTGTTATAATTCAAACAGCGAAGGTTTAACAGGTGACAAGTTGCAAATCAAAATTAACCACAGAGACAAATATACTAGTAAATTTATATTTTTCGTAGCTAGTTTTCGAGTTACATTCCTAATCCTTAGTGACTTGCCTTAATTTTACGAAACAAGCTAACATACATCCAAGCGGCTGTGAAAACAAAGCATTCATATCATGTCACTATCTGATCATTATTAGCTTTTTGCATAGTGTTATTACATCAAGGATGCCAAGTGTAAGAAATACATCAACAGGAAAAACGTTGCAGTAACATGAGTGCATAGGGGTTCGCAATTTGACTGAATGACAATTTGCTAATAAGTACCCCAAAACTTAACCTCCACAGTTCTCACAAAGACAAGAAATGACAGCAAACTTCAGGTGTTAGAAGCCGTCATGCTTACCAACTCTTTGATGGCCACAATGCAGCAGAGAGTGATTGTAAACAGTCTCTAATAGATACATATAGCTGCAAATGATCATTTAAAAACAAGTGATTTGTAGAATCTTGTCAAAAGATCACGATATAACCTACTACGCAACGTCAAAACTAGAGGAAGAAGTTTATGCATTATCATTTAAACAACATATTTGTATAGGATAGGACCTGAGAAGTGCTTTGAAATAACAGCATTACAACTTCCAGAAAAGTAGCATTATCATTTAAAGTATCTGTAAAAGTGCAAGAAAAGAAACTACAGCTCGAAGGTTATTAACTATAAGTCTGATTTAGGTGGCTAGAGCTACTCACTTACATGACTTCAGAGTCTACCTAAGGAGCAGTGGCTCATAAGATGACATTCTAATAAACCTATCCACTATGCCGTAGTCACATCATAAGCTGACCACATTCACTTTTTTCCAGTGTGACAGAAATATGTTCTATAGAAAAGGCTGGAAACGCATTTGCGATACGTTTCCGACTGATTGCAGGTTATGTTAAAACGATATTCACCTCATCTAGATGCTTCAGACCAATAATAAGATTATGCAGCCTTCCAACTTGGGTGATTGCTTTTGTTCATAATACTAACATAGACCATCCGAAATTCCCAGGACTCATACAAATCACTCAGCCACGTTAACATTATCGACATACTGAGACAACATACCAAGGTATTAATCACTAGTCATCGGTAGACAACCGCACTTTTTTGGGCCTAGATTAGCCTAAAAACCAAAAACTTAGCAAAATGAACTGAGATCCACGACTGCACTTAGGAGGCGTAACAGACAACAGTTCGATCTAATAATATACTAGTTTTGTATAATTCACTGGAGAACAAGGTAAGTAAAATGTCTGTCTAGTGTTCAGTCAATTTTGGATGAATCTAAAATAACCCACTGCACATAGACAAGAGGACAAACACAACACGAAGAGAATACGTATTCCGAAAGTAATATGAAAAATGTTGATAAAAAATCTTACCAGTTTCTAAATCCAGAATCATATCGAGGGCATCACGGTATTCAGGAACTTGTTCGGATAATCCAGTCAAATTGAATCTGTCTTGAATATAGTCTTCTTCAACTTCGCAGAAAAACTCGTTTCCACGCAAGCCACAGAACCACGAAATCCAAGAAATTTCGTCACTACTACTCATAATGAACAACTGCTTCTGATGAGATTAGTATCGATCGGTCAGTTGCGCTAACACAGAGTAACCTGGAAGTTTTCATGAAAATTTAAATAAAAATGAATACAGTGAAAATTTTAGTGAATATTTAATTTATGTCAGCCCCAGTTTACTAATTCAACACGTATAATATTTTGGTGCCACGTGAACATAGGTCGACTGTGTGCCAATTCAGATAATTAACACCGTACGGGGAACGGATTATTACCCTTGCATTGCACCAAAATTGAGTCCTCATTTCAGCATAATTTACTTGGTGTACCTATTGGGAATCGGACATGATGCGGACTTCTTGATACAGTCAACCACGAAGCATCGGGAAGCATTTGAAATCTCCCTAACCCAAGCTGTCACTGTCCAGCTCCTTTCTTGAACCCTTATTTATGTCTCACATCAGTGGACATATTCAATGAGGACATTTCGGAAAAAACCAAACATATGCACATCATATAAAATAAGGACTTACAGTATGCAAATAAGAAACACAAATGATAGCATAAATCTCACCTAGCGCCGAAGAAGATGCAGTTTACCTCAGAAATAAAATCAGCGACAAAATTGAAACCCGCAAAACAAAGTGAGCGTTGGCCCGCCACACCGTATTGAGGTTAATGATGCCCGACCTTGAGACCGGTGCGCGCTTCACCAATGTAGCGCAGTTCCGGTATCCCTAGATTTTAGGTGTTTTTCAAAAATGAATAAAAACAAAGCTGATTTATCTCTGTCATAAAGGATTGTTTCCGATCTTTGATAAATTCCTACCTGATCACTCTCGTCAACTGCAGTAGGTGTACTGATCCTCATTGGGAGAGAATCAGTTATTATATATATATATCAATATCGTTTTTACAAGCTAGTATAAACCAATTTGATTTCTTCGCGCTCGCCTCTTGATTGTGAGGTAGAGGTTCCTGATCTTTGGTAAACGTCTGTGTAGCTCGTCCCGCCACTCGACTGTCGTAGCTTTGGTTGACTCCAACAGGAGTAGTGCTGGGATTAATTATATGGCGTCTGTAGTATGAAGTGTGTTAAGACTGTTACTACTGTGAATGGAGTTGATCCTTTCACCAGTTAGTCTTTCCGTATCGTCGTCAATGGAAAAGAGATAATAATAATAATAGATATAATTAGTAAAGGTATTCAGACTAACAGACAGAGAAAAAATAAAACGTAACAACAGTCAGTCAACCGGTATACATATATATATATATATATGTATATATATATACCAGTAATAATGATAATAATAATAAGTGTAGTTAAAGCTGTCAGGAGAGTAAGACTGAAGGGAATGTGAAGAAGTAAAACGACCAGTTTAATTGTCCACCTTTGAATGGTATATGCGATTTTAAGGGGATAGGCCATTTGGATACAGTCCTTGTGTCGCTGCAAGGTTGTCCAGCCTTCGCTTAAAGGCGTCCACAGATGGTGCCATAGCTACATCTGCCGGTAAAGAATTCCAGGGACGGCAAACCCGCAGGGAAAAGAAGTGGGAGCGCACCCGGGTTCTTGCCCTGTGATGAGCTATCCTTCTAGGATTTCCACGAGGGAGCCTATACCTACTCAATGGCAGAACACCTTTGTTTGGGTGACTCTGATCATTTGTTATTTTGTAGGCAGTAATTAAATCCCCCCGAAGGCGACGGTAACTGAGTGTGAATAGGCCTAATTTCTTCAGCCTTTCGTCATATGGTTTATTTCGGAGACCAACCACTCCTTTTGTTGACCGTCGTTGGACTCTTTCCAAGAGGTTGGCGTCTCTTTTAAGCAGTGGGGGTGCAATGATATTATGCACTTCAAGATGCGGTCTGACGTATGTTTTATACAACCTTAGAAAGAGCTCAGGAGTGAGTGCAACTTATTGTCTATGTGTAAAGTGTATGACCGCATATGCCCTCGCTACATCCCCCGTGTAATTTACGCTTGTGTCCATTTTCTCCGTTAGAACTAGACCTAAGTCACGTTCCGACGTTGAGCAGGACAAGCTTTCATTGCACAGGGTGTAACTTGCATTCTGCAGTCTACAGGTGCGTAACTTCACTACTTTGCACTTTTTCAGGTTGAAAGTCATTCCACTGGTTACCGCCCAGTCTTCCAGAAGCCTTAGATCTGCCTGCAGCCTATCTGAGTCCTCCGGACACTTTACCGCCCTCCATATCTTTACGTCATCAGCGTATAGAAGAGTCGGGCAGCTTAGACGGCATGGTAAATCATTGATAAAAATCAAGAACATCAGTGGTCCTAGGATAGAACCCTGCGACACTCCTGATGACGAGCTGTGCCAAGATGATCGGACTCGATTGACCTTGGTGCAAAATTGCCTTTCAGTTAGGTAGTCCTTCAACCATGACAGAAGTGGTTTACCTAGACCTACCCGGCTTATTTTGTGTAGGAGAAGGTCATGGTGAACAGTGTCAAATGCCTTCTCAAAGTCTAGAAAGATCACATGGACAGGAACATTCATATCCCAGCATGATGTCCAATCGTCCCAAGCTGATAATAAGTTAGTGACGCAGGATCTCCCTTTCCTGAAACCGTGTTGGGCTTCATGGAGTATTTTAGACCTATCCAGATATTCCCTGATGTGATCATCAATAATACTTTCCAGTACTTTCGATACCACTGGGAGTAGAGCTACTGGTCTATAACTGGTGGGATTTTGCCTATCCCCACCCTTGAAGATCGGAGAAAGGATGCTTCTTTTCCATTCCTTTGGCAGTTTCCCCGATTCCATGGAGTGTTGGAACAAGTCGCATAAGGGCTTACAGAGAGCTTCGGCGCACTGTTTCAGAACAGATGGCCTGATGTCATCACAACCTGGGGACTTCCCAGGTATGAGTCGCTGCAGCTTTCTCAGTACTATTGCAGGGTTTATTTGAGGGGTGGCTATTTGGTCTTCCTCCTGTGAAATAGTCATGCCACCATTTTGGTTCGTAACGGTAATACCCACATTGCTGTTTAGCTGTTTGGCGAAGGCTAAACTGAATGTTTCAGCCATCTCCAGACTAGTGAGATATTGACCGTTTTGGCCTACTAAGGCGCAAGCCCCTTGGTTGGTTGGTTTCCTTTCCGACATGAATCGGTACAAATTCTTCGGGTTTGCCAGAAGTTTTTTAGCAAGGTTAGCCTGGAATGACCTTCTGTCCCTCCTGACTCTTGCATTGCACCGGTTCCTGAGTTCCAGGTATGCATCATGGTCGATCTGGCTTCTAGATACGCGCCACGTAAACCAAGCCTTCCTCTTTGCTTGCAGAATACGCTGCGTGCCTCTCTTTAACCATGATGATTTTCTTTTTGGCTGTGCTGTGACTAAAGGGACGGTATCCGAGATCGCTGTATGAATAATCTTTTTTACCGCTTCCCAGTGTTCATCCACAGACAGCTCATCCCATGCTAAGGGCCAGTCTGCATCGGACAAGAGCCTCCGCATTTCAGCGTAGTCAGCCTTGCTGTAACACAGACATGGTTGCGTAGCGTCCCACTGCAAGTGCTCACGGAGAACGAGGTCGAAACCTATGACTGCATGGTCACTACTTCCTAGAGGAGTCATGACCTGGACCTTTTCGATGAGTAGTTGGTCACTAGTTAGAATGTAGTCTAGTTTTGATGACTTCCCACTAGGGCCCCACCTAGTGTCGTCTCCAACATTCTCAGTCAGTCCCGTGTCCCGAATAGCTTGCAGTAGATTTCGGCCGAATTTTCCCTTAGCATACCCCGAGCCAAGGTTCAGTGATGGGGCATTGAAATCTCCAGCAATGGTGATTTGGTCATAGCCCAAGTCTCGTATCCCTGTGATAGTGCTGAGCAGTAGCTGATTGTGCTCTGCCCCACAGGTGGGAGATCGGTAGGTGCCACCAAGTAAATGCTTGGTTTGGCCTACGGTGAAATGACACCATATGGAGTCTGGGAGTTCAATAAGTGGTGGGTCCGTTGCGCGAACACATTTAAGTTGCCTATCAAAGTATATGGCAACTCCCCCTCCTTCCTTATTATCCCTGTCTCTCCTGACCAAAACCATATCACCTATACTGATTTCATTATCGGCGATAGTGGGGGTTAGCCATGTTTCGGTGAGAATGATTATTTTCAGTTGTAGGTGTGCTTGGAGATTTCGGAGTTCACCTATTTTTACTCTCAGCCCCCTCACATTGCTATGCAGGCAGCTGACAGTGAGTCTTACAAACTCAGCGTGTTGTGGGGTAGTTGACGTGAAGCTGTCTGCTGGTAGGGAACTTAGTGTTGGGACTAATTGGCCAGTTCCGATGGAACCGGCCCATTGTGGTTTTTTCCCTTGGATTTAGGCAGGACACTTGGGTGGCACAGACTGTTATTCTCAGAAATGCATCGCTCGAGTGTCACTGAAGCTTGGGGACGTATTAAAGCCTCAGTTTGCTGCCTCCTTATGGTTCGAGGTCTGCTTTCGCAACATCGGATGTGTCCTCCCAATTTCCCCTTGATCTCATACCACCGTTGAAGTGTTATGGCCAACTGCTCTGGGGAGTTGAATGTGACACTAAGCAGCTTTGGGGAGCTAATCAGTGTGAGATGAGCGGGGCGAGGTAGTCGGTAAACGGAGATGGCTCCAGAAGCGCCAAGGGCCATCTGAGACGACAGCCATCTCCACTGCTGTACGTCATGCATGTGTTTTTCACAGGCAGTGCCCGTTTCCAGCTCCGGGACACCGTGCACTACCATAGAGGTGGAAGGCAAAAGTTGGACAATAGTATATATATATTTATTCCTGTTTATGCAGGAACATACCAATTGTACAGGCATGGATAAGTTATTATATAAATTACAGTTTGTTTGTGCAATCTAACATTAGAGTCAGTCAGAACAGTCTGCAAAATAGTTTGTCTGTGTAACACATAAAGAGATATAGAAATATTGTCTTCGCATTAACAAAAAACCCAGACTTCAGATGAATGTGATACAAATATCTGGGAAAAATAAAGCTTGAAGTCAAT